TCCTGGGTGTCTCACTTGGCTGCTTAAATACAGGCAGAGTCCATGGCAATCCCAGCTGGAAGAGCAGGATTGGAGCCCAGGAGGAGGGCACTTGGCCTGGAGCTGCTCTGACTCGGTCTTCATTTTGTCTCTCCTTGGTCTCCCACTGAACCCCCCTGCTGCATCTGCATGGCCCCGATGATGAGGTGCCATGATGCTTGGTGGTCCTCCTGCACCTTCTGAGCAGGGGTGGGTGATCTCACGGCACCCTGCCTGGCCCTGCTGCTAGCAAGGAGAGTTTGACTCCTTTCAGGCGACAAAGAGTTAGCTCAGAGTTTTTGTTTCCTTGCTGTGGTTAGAGCCTACAGGGTCATGGACGGTTTCAAAAGTTTTCCTCCCATAGATACACTTTGATAAGCAAAACTTCTGAACTTGGGTTTTCACACTCCCAGACATAGTGAAAGGTTCATCCATCCGGATCAGCCTCACCTCTGACTCTGAGTCTGGATGTTCCCTGATGACTCTGAGTCCCCAAAAGGCAGATGATGCCACCTGATGCAACCCTTGGGCTCTTCTCAACTGCCCAGCTCGGGCTGTAGTTTAGAGGACCACAAGGTCAGCTCTGCCTTCCTCTCCCAACTTCATCTCGTCCCACCCAACTTGCTGCAGGAGACAAAGGTTTTGTGTGTCATTTGACAGCGGAGAGTCTCCAGGTTTAAAATACACGCGATCTTCTCCACTTGCTTCCATCCAGTTGATGGAACTCAGTGTATTCATGTCAGAGCAACTGTGTTTGCTGCAGCTCCCTTTCAGGAGAGGGAGGGGTGGGTGTGTGTATGTGGGCACCAGGGGAGTAGCTCCCAGGGTAATCACAGCTCATTAATTTACTTCTAATCACCAGGAATTTTGGAAAGAGGCCAAGCAATGAAGATAAGAGGCCCACAATTTTCGTGGTGCTACAATGTAGCCCTGACTAATTTCACAGCTTTTTGCCAAAGTACATCAGGAGGGAACTTCTTGTTCTGGCCACGTCTGTACAGCGAAGAGGGCTCAAGCCCAAAACTCCATCAGTCAAAGAGAGAGAGGGAGAGACGGCGCAAAGACCAGTTCTACACCACTTTTTTCTCCCACTAGGTGGTGGTATCTAATGCATCTTGAGCCTCCCCGTCCACCTGGCTTCTTGGTTGGGATCTTGGTGGTGACATGAGCCCGTTCACAGGTACCTCAACACTCAGAAACCTCTCAGGATACCACTAGCAAGAGCTAGCTCACAGCTGTAGAAGGCAATAGTTAGAAGCCAGGACAGCATGGGACCAACAAGGTCCTTGGTCCTTGCGAGACGGTGAGGTGTCATATGGATTTGTACTCTGAGGCTGACTATGAGCCTGGGATGTTTGTAAAATATGCGTGCATGCAGTAATGCACCTCTGGCAGAAAAACAACACTGAGAGGGTTACCACCAGCTTTAAGGACAACTGACCTACTGTCATCTTCTTCACCACCTCGGTGTCCTCGCCTCCTACCTGAAATCTTGCTCATCATGTCAATGAGCCTCTTGGAGACTCAAGCTGTGCCTAGGCACAGGGTGTCAGTAGAAACCTTCTTTCCGTGTTACATCCTGAGCATGTTTACAGTGTTGTGATGACTGATAATGCATGCCCCAAGACATTAACTGACATTAATTGGAAGGCCCCATCTTATGATCATCTTCTTCTTCTCATGACTTCAGCTCAGCCCCTGAACCTCAAAAATCAAAATGTCTCTGGGCACAGCCTTACGCAGTCTATCTTGCAGCATTTTCGATCAAAAATGCATGGGCAATATCTAATTGACATATGCAACTTAGCGTTGAGTCAATGAAAAATCAGCAGTGGACATGTCCTGATACACATTGACATTGCACCTCTTTTAGCCACTTTCCACAATTTGCATGCGCTGTGGTGGTGGAAAGAAAATCATCCCAGCTGAAATCTGTATGGTTCAAAGGCCTGAAACTCAGCCTTGGTCTTAACAGAACCAAATACACAAGCTCCTTCCAGATACTGGCCGGAAGGAAAGGAACCGGCAATAATTAAGCATTTAAAAAATATTGTATTTTTAGACAACTGAAATCCTGGATGAGATTTTTCACTCCTATTTAAACAGGGATAATTTTATATGGCAGGAGGTGCCAGAACACTCATCTCCAGAAACTGGAGATATCATTATAGCTTAGCTGACAAGCAGAACAGGTTTTGATATACCCTTCCAAACCATTCCTCCACTAAATTAGCCCAGCACTTAAGGCTATGTACTAGCATTGGGTAAACAGTACTTAAAACAACTTAGTGGAAATGCTGATCAAGCCCCTTGTACGAGTTGGGGGTTAGCAATCTCTTTTCTAAGCTGGTCTCCCAGGCTCCTGTTATAGTCAACCGAAACAGACGGTTTGTCTCATCTCCAGCGGGCGATGCATCCCGTACTAAGGTAGCTGCACAAATTAGGTCTTTTGAATTGCCTCCAGAAGTGCCTGTTTCTGTCCATCGTCTTTACCTCCTCCCTTTTCAACCTTTCACTCTACAAAACAGATCAGTAAAAAGCCCACAGGCCTGACCACAGTGTTCATATTAATTCTTTATTTCTTCTGGTTAGAGATGAGAAGCTCTAGGCACCCTGTCTGCATAATTTAACAGTGAAACTAAAGCCCAACAATAGCTGGTAGTTTGCAGCATTACCTTTCACAGCTTCCACTTTTTATTGGAAGAGGGAAGGCTTTGTCTTGATTGAAAAGTCTTACCTAATCTCTTAGATAAAAGATGGGGTTGTGATGATGCAGTTTATTTATCACTTGGATCCTGAAGAACTGAACTGTTCCAGTGAATGATGTAGAAGCAGCCATTAACAGAGCGAATGGACTGTCTCGGCTGTTGGAGGGTAGCTCTACATGGCATTTTGCAAGCCAGGGTGGACTCACACCACCCACACGCTGAACCCGTGGGATGCGAGCCAGTGCAGATGAAAACACGGGCTTATCTCAGCAGGGTTTGCTAACACAATCTCCAGATTTCACTACCACAGCTGACTGCTTCACAGCTTGTGTAGGGCCTTCTGCAGTTGATGAGAGCAGCGATAACCTAGTTTTGACTGAAATAGAGCGTCTAGACCTCCCCACATGCAGAGTACTCATAACTGCTTCCAGACTATGCTATAAAGGTTTGATTTAGCCCTTTGTGGCTCCCCATCAACCTTCTCTAGTCGTTTTCATGGCTCTACAGCCATTTGCAAATGGGTCGCCACAGTGGATTTCCCACCAAGCTGAGTATCTCGCTCCCCGCTGGCTGCCATCCCCAGGACTCTTCTCAGTTGCATTTCTTTGAAAAATGGTTAAGAGGATCCTGCCTTCCCTCCGACTGGGGAAGAGACATGAAATATTCTTGATGGGATTGTGACACTCCAGTTATCTGAGTGGAGTGTTGCTAAATTAAGGTGACACAGAAATTAAGATGACACAGGCATTGAGCTTCTTGAACAAACTCCCGGTAATCTCAGCTGCTCTGCTCTTCATTAGAACTTATGATTGGACTTCAAGGAGGTTCTGTGAGAAATTTGGAAAACACCTTGCTTCTTCTGCATGGAAGTGATCATTGAATAAGATGTTGGCCAAAAAAGGATTACTTGAGTGCCTACCATCCAACTTTGATTTGGGACCCCAGGGGGAAAAATGGGACTAGAAGCAAGATAAGGAGACATTGTTGTTCATAGACTTTCTGCTCCTTTCTTTATCTGCAACTGCAATGCTAACAAAATCTACATGGACGATTCAGTCTGCCCCCAGGTTATTTAACAAGTGACTCCTGGAGGGAATGATGGAACTGAGATGTACCCCCGTGTCCTGGCTGACTGGCTAAATTAGGCCAATAGGACTTGTCCCCAAAACCCATTTTCACAGCAGATGTTCAGCACTGTTGTGCCCCCCCAACAGACATTCTTTTTTAAACAGCTTCTTCCACTTTTTCACTAATTTTTCTTGAAGTTGGATCAGATCTCTATAAACTGGTTTATATATTTAAAGAGTTCTTTCAAAAATCTCATCATACATGTCAGAGTCGTGCCCTCCCACAGACCGATACACACACAACAGACACAGGGTTTCAAGCTTTTAGTTGCCAAAGACAGAGGTTCCAAACAGCCTGAGTTGAAGTGCTCAGAGAAAGCCTAAGGAAACAATAGCAACCATCACAATATTGTCATAAAACACTGCGTGGTTGGACAATTCAGGAGATGGCCGTGCAGGGAGAAGACAGCTCGAGATTATGTGCGACCCCTTCAGACTAGCAGTGGACTCAGTGGTGGGCAGGAAAGCCACCCCTGCCTCCGATAGCGAAGGGAATACCTTCTTCCCATTCCACTGGCGGATTTTTGTGTGCAAATATTACTTGTGGGAAGCATCTCCGGAAGAACCTGAGCCACCTCCATCGGCAGACCTGTAACCCTGCCTTCAAAGAGACCACCCTCCCTCAGAGCTGCATTCCCCAGTCCCATCTCCAGGGCTGTACCTCCCACCTCCACGGCCCCCTCCAGAGCTAGCCCCACCTCCAGACCCATACCCTCCACTACCAGAACTGCAGATACCACTATACCTCGATCCCCCACCTCCAGAGACAGGGCTTCCACCACCTCCAGAATTAGACCCTCTCCTGCCAGAGCTGCTGCCACCGCCAGGGCTCAGCCCTCCACTCTCGGGACTGCATCTGCCACTCCCAGAGCTGGATCCCCATCCTCCAGAGCTGTGGCCACCACACGAGATGGAGCCTCCACTGCCTGAGCTTCCTCCTCCCCCATACCCTGAGCCACCTCCCCCTCCGCCACAGATGGACCCACCATGGCCAGAGCTCGATCCCCATCCTCCAGAGCTGTGGCCACCACAAGACATGGAGCCTCCACTGCCTGAGCTTCCTCCGCCTCCATACCCTGAGCCACCTCCACCACAGATGGACCCACCATGGCCAGAGCTCGATCCCCCATGACCTGAGCTTCCTCCTCCTCCACCTCCAGAGCTGCACCCTCTCCTGCCACAGCTGCTGCCACCGCCAGACATGGAGCCTCCACTGCCTGAGCTTCCTCCTCCCCCATACCCTGAGCCACCTCCTCCACCGCCACAGATGGACCCACCATGGCCAGAGCTCGATCCCCATCCTCCAGAGCTGTGGCCACCACAAGACATGGAGCCTCCACTGCCTGAGCTTCCTCCTCCCCCATACCCTGAGCCACCTCCCCCTCCGCCACAGATGGACCCACCATGGCCAGAGCTCGATCCTCCATGACCTGAGCTTCCTCCTCCTCCACCTCCAGAGCTGCACCCTCTCCTGCCACAGCTGCTGCCACCGCCAGACATGGAGCCTCCACTGCCTGAGCTTCCTCCGCCTCCATACCCTGAGCCACCTCCTCCTCCGCCACAGATGGACCCACCATGGCCAGAGCTCGATCCTCCATGACCTGAGCTTCCTCCTCCTCCACCTCCAGAGCTGCACCCTCTCCTGCCACAGCTGCTGCCACCGCCAGACATGGAGCCTCCACTGCCTGAGCTTCCTCCGCCTCCATACCCTGAGCCACCTCCGCCACAGATGGACCCACCATGGCCAGAGCTCGATCCCCCTCCTCCAGACCTGTGGCCACCCCACGAGATGGAGCCTCCACTACCTGAGCTTCCTCCTCCTCCATAGCCTGAGCCACCTCCGCCACAGATGGACCCACCATGGCCAGAGCTCGATCCTCCATGACCTGAGCTTCCTCCTCCTCCACCTCCAGAGCTGCACCCTCTCCTGCCACAGCTGCTGCCACCGCCAGACATGGAGCCTCCACTGCCTGAGCTTCCTCCTCCCCCATACCCTGAGCCACCTCCCCCTCCGCCACAGATGGACCCACCATGGCCAGAGCTCGATCCCCCATGACCTGAGCTTCCTCCTCCTCCACCTCCAGAGCTGCACCCTCTCCTGCCACAGCTGCTGCCACCGCCAGACATGGAGCCTCCACTGCCTGAGCTTCCTCCTCCTCCATACCCTGAGCCACCCCCGCCACAGAGGGACCCACCATGGCCAGAGCTCGATCCCCCTCCTCCAGACCTGTGGCCACCCCACGAGATGGAGCCTCCCCTGCCTGAGCTTCCTCCTCCTCCATACCCTGAGCCACCTCCACCACAGATGGACCCACCATGGCCAGAGCTCGATCCCCCTCCTCCAGACCTGTGGCCACCCCACGAGATGGAGCCTCCACTACCTGAGCTTCCTCCTCCTCCATACCCTGAGCCACCTCCGCCACAGATGGACCCACCATGGCCAGAGCTCGATCCTCCATGACCTGAGCTTCCTCCTCCTCCACCTCCAGAGCTGCACCCTCTCCTGCCACAGCTGCTGCCACCGCCAGACATGGAGCCTCCACTGCCTGAGCTTCCTCCTCCCCCATACCCTGAGCCACCTCCCCCTCCGCCACAGATGGACCCACCATGGCCAGAGCTCGATCCCCATCCTCCAGAGCTGTGGCCACCACACGAGATGGAGCCTCCACTGCCTGAGCTTCCTCCTCCTCCATAGCCTGAGCCACCTCCTCCTCCGCCACAGATGGACCCACCATGGCCAGAGCTCGATCCTCCATGACCTGAGCTTCCTCCTCCTCCACCTCCAGAGATGGACCCTCTCCTGCCACAGCTGCTGCCACCGCCAGACATGGAGCCTCCACTGCCTGAGCTTCCTCCTCCTCCATACCCTGAGCCACCTCCTCCTCCGCCACAGATGGACCCACCATGGCCAGAGCTCGATCCTCCATGACCTGAGCTTCCTCCTCCTCCACCTCCAGAGATGGACCCTCTCCTGCCACAGCTGCTGCCACCGCCAGACATGGAGCCTCCACTGCCTGAGCTTCCTCCTCCTCCATACCCTGAGCCACCTCCTCCTCCGCCACAGATGGACCCACCATGGCCAGAGCTCGATCCTCCATGACCTGAGCTTCCTCCTCCTCCACCTCCAGAGATGGACCCTCTCCTGCCACAGCTGCTGCCACCGCCAGACATGGAGCCTCCACTGCCTGAGCTTCCTCCTCCTCCATACCCTGAGCCACCTCCTCCTCCGCCACAGATGGACCCACCATGGCCAGAGCTCGATCCTCCATGACCTGAGCTTCCTCCTCCTCCACCTCCAGAGATGGACCCTCTCCTGCCACAGCTGCTGCCACCGCCAGACATGGAGCCTCCACTGCCTGAGCTTCCTCCTCCTCCATACCCTGAGCCACCTCCTCCTCCGCCACAGATGGACCCACCATGGCCAGAGCTCGATCCTCCATGACCTGAGCTTCCTCCTCCTCCACCTCCAGAGATGGACCCTCTCCTGCCACAGCTGCTGCCACCGCCAGACATGGAGCCTCCACTGCCTGAGCTTCCTCCTCCTCCATACCCTGAGCCACCTCCTCCTCCGCCACAGATGGACCCACCATGGCCAGAGCTCGATCCTCCATGACCTGAGCTTCCTCCTCCTCCACCTCCAGAGATGGACCCTCTCCTGCCACAGCTGCTGCCACCGCCAGACATGGAGCCTCCACTGCCTGAGCTTCCTCCTCCTCCATACCCTGAGCCACCTCCTCCTCCGCCACAGATGGACCCACCATGGCCAGAGCTCGATCCTCCATGACCTGAGCTTCCTCCTCCTCCACCTCCAGAGATGGACCCTCTCCTGCCACAGCTGCTGCCACCGCCAGACATGGAGCCTCCACTGCCTGAGCTTCCTCCTCCTCCATACCCTGAGCCACCTCCTCCTCCGCCACAGATGGACCCACCATGGCCAGAGCTCGATCCTCCATGACCTGAGCTTCCTCCTCCTCCACCTCCAGAGATGGACCCTCTCCTGCCACAGCTGCTGCCACCGCCAGACATGGAGCCTCCACTGCCTGAGCTTCCTCCTCCTCCATACCCTGAGCCACCTCCTCCTCCGCCACAGATGGACCCACCATGGCCAGAGCTCGATCCTCCATGACCTGAGCTTCCTCCTCCTCCACCTCCAGAGATGGACCCTCTCCTGCCACAGCTGCTGCCACCGCCAGACATGGAGCCTCCACTGCCTGAGCTTCCTCCTCCTCCATACCCTGAGCCACCTCCTCCTCCGCCACAGATGGACCCACCATGGCCAGAGCTCGATCCTCCATGACCTGAGCTTCCTCCTCCTCCACCTCCAGAGATGGACCCTCTCCTGCCACAGCTGCTGCCACCGCCAGACATGGAGCCTCCACTGCCTGAGCTTCCTCCTCCTCCATACCCTGAGCCACCTCCTCCTCCGCCACAGATGGACCCACCATGGCCAGAGCTCGATCCTCCATGACCTGAGCTTCCTCCTCCTCCACCTCCAGAGATGGACCCTCTCCTGCCACAGCTGCTGCCACCGCCAGACATGGAGCCTCCACTGCCTGAGCTTCCTCCTCCTCCATACCCTGAGCCACCTCCTCCTCCGCCACAGATGGACCCACCATGGCCAGAGCTCGATCCTCCATGACCTGAGCTTCCTCCTCCTCCACCTCCAGAGATGGACCCTCTCCTGCCACAGCTGCTGCCACCGCCAGACATGGAGCCTCCACTGCCTGAGCTTCCTCCTCCTCCATACCCTGAGCCACCTCCTCCTCCGCCACAGATGGACCCACCATGGCCAGAGCTCGATCCTCCATGACCTGAGCTTCCTCCTCCTCCACCTCCAGAGATGGACCCTCTCCTGCCACAGCTGCTGCCACCGCCAGACATGGAGCCTCCACTGCCTGAGCTTCCTCCTCCTCCATACCCTGAGCCACCTCCTCCTCCGCCACAGATGGACCCACCATGGCCAGAGCTCGATCCTCCATGACCTGAGCTTCCTCCTCCTCCACCTCCAGAGATGGACCCTCTCCTGCCACAGCTGCTGCCACCGCCAGACATGGAGCCTCCACTGCCTGAGCTTCCTCCTCCTCCATACCCTGAGCCACCTCCTCCTCCGCCACAGATGGACCCACCATGGCCAGAGCTCGATCCTCCATGACCTGAGCTTCCTCCTCCTCCACCTCCAGAGATGGACCCTCTCCTGCCACAGCTGCTGCCACCGCCAGACATGGAGCCTCCACTGCCTGAGCTTCCTCCTCCTCCATACCCTGAGCCACCTCCTCCTCCGCCACAGATGGACCCACCATGGCCAGAGCTCGATCCTCCATGACCTGAGCTTCCTCCTCCTCCACCTCCAGAGATGGACCCTCTCCTGCCACAGCTGCTGCCACCGCCAGACATGGAGCCTCCACTGCCTGAGCTTCCTCCTCCTCCATACCCTGAGCCACCTCCTCCTCCGCCACAGATGGACCCACCATGGCCAGAGCTCGATCCTCCATGACCTGAGCTTCCTCCTCCTCCACCTCCAGAGATGGACCCTCTCCTGCCACAGCTGCTGCCACCGCCAGACATGGAGCCTCCACTGCCTGAGCTTCCTCCTCCTCCATACCCTGAGCCACCTCCTCCTCCGCCACAGATGGACCCACCATGGCCAGAGCTCGATCCTCCATGACCTGAGCTTCCTCCTCCTCCACCTCCAGAGATGGACCCTCTCCTGCCACAGCTGCTGCCACCGCCAGACATGGAGCCTCCACTGCCTGAGCTTCCTCCTCCTCCATACCCTGAGCCACCTCCTCCTCCGCCACAGATGGACCCACCATGGCCAGAGCTCGATCCTCCATGACCTGAGCTTCCTCCTCCTCCACCTCCAGAGATGGACCCTCTCCTGCCACAGCTGCTGCCACCGCCAGACATGGAGCCTCCACTGCCTGAGCTTCCTCCTCCTCCATACCCTGAGCCACCTCCTCCTCCGCCACAGATGGACCCACCATGGCCAGAGCTCGATCCTCCATGACCTGAGCTTCCTCCTCCTCCACCTCCAGAGATGGACCCTCTCCTGCCACAGCTGCTGCCACCGCCAGACATGGAGCCTCCACTGCCTGAGCTTCCTCCTCCTCCATACCCTGAGCCACCTCCTCCTCCGCCACAGATGGACCCACCATGGCCAGAGCTCGATCCTCCATGACCTGAGCTTCCTCCTCCTCCACCTCCAGAGATGGACCCTCTCCTGCCACAGCTGCTGCCACCGCCAGACATGGAGCCTCCACTGCCTGAGCTTCCTCCTCCTCCATACCCTGAGCCACCTCCTCCTCCGCCACAGATGGACCCACCATGGCCAGAGCTCGATCCTCCATGACCTGAGCTTCCTCCTCCTCCACCTCCAGAGATGGACCCTCTCCTGCCACAGCTGCTGCCACCGCCAGACATGGAGCCTCCACTGCCTGAGCTTCCTCCTCCTCCATACCCTGAGCCACCTCCTCCTCCGCCACAGATGGACCCACCATGGCCAGAGCTCGATCCTCCATGACCTGAGCTTCCTCCTCCTCCACCTCCAGAGATGGACCCTCTCCTGCCACAGCTGCTGCCACCGCCAGACATGGAGCCTCCACTGCCTGAGCTTCCTCCTCCTCCATACCCTGAGCCACCTCCTCCTCCGCCACAGATGGACCCACCATGGCCAGAGCTCGATCCTCCATGACCTGAGCTTCCTCCTCCTCCACCTCCAGAGATGGACCCTCTCCTGCCACAGCTGCTGCCACCGCCAGACATGGAGCCTCCACTGCCTGAGCTTCCTCCTCCTCCATACCCTGAGCCACCTCCTCCTCCGCCACAGATGGACCCACCATGGCCAGAGCTCGATCCTCCATGACCTGAGCTTCCTCCTCCTCCACCTCCAGAGATGGACCCTCTCCTGCCACAGCTGCTGCCACCGCCAGACATGGAGCCTCCACTGCCTGAGCTTCCTCCTCCTCCATACCCTGAGCCACCTCCTCCTCCGCCACAGATGGACCCACCATGGCCAGAGCTCGATCCTCCATGACCTGAGCTTCCTCCTCCTCCACCTCCAGAGATGGACCCTCTCCTGCCACAGCTGCTGCCACCGCCAGACATGGAGCCTCCACTGCCTGAGCTTCCTCCTCCTCCATACCCTGAGCCACCTCCTCCTCCGCCACAGATGGACCCACCATGGCCAGAGCTCGATCCTCCATGACCTGAGCTTCCTCCTCCTCCACCTCCAGAGATGGACCCTCTCCTGCCACAGCTGCTGCCACCGCCAGACATGGAGCCTCCACTGCCTGAGCTTCCTCCTCCTCCATACCCTGAGCCACCTCCTCCTCCGCCACAGATGGACCCACCATGGCCAGAGCTCGATCCTCCATGACCTGAGCTTCCTCCTCCTCCACCTCCAGAGATGGACCCTCTCCTGCCACAGCTGCTGCCACCGCCAGACATGGAGCCTCCACTGCCTGAGCTTCCTCCTCCTCCATACCCTGAGCCACCTCCTCCTCCGCCACAGATGGACCCACCATGGCCAGAGCTCGATCCTCCATGACCTGAGCTTCCTCCTCCTCCACCTCCAGAGATGGACCCTCTCCTGCCACAGCTGCTGCCACCGCCAGACATGGAGCCTCCACTGCCTGAGCTTCCTCCTCCTCCATACCCTGAGCCACCTCCTCCTCCGCCACAGATGGACCCACCATGGCCAGAGCTCGATCCTCCATGACCTGAGCTTCCTCCTCCTCCACCTCCAGAGATGGACCCTCTCCTGCCACAGCTGCTGCCACCGCCAGACATGGAGCCTCCACTGCCTGAGCTTCCTCCTCCTCCATACCCTGAGCCACCTCCTCCTCCGCCACAGATGGACCCACCATGGCCAGAGCTCGATCCTCCATGACCTGAGCTTCCTCCTCCTCCACCTCCAGAGATGGACCCTCTCCTGCCACAGCTGCTGCCACCGCCAGACATGGAGCCTCCACTGCCTGAGCTTCCTCCTCCTCCATACCCTGAGCCACCTCCTCCTCCGCCACAGATGGACCCACCATGGCCAGAGCTCGATCCTCCATGACCTGAGCTTCCTCCTCCTCCACCTCCAGAGATGGACCCTCTCCTGCCACAGCTGCTGCCACCGCCAGACATGGAGCCTCCACTGCCTGAGCTTCCTCCTCCTCCATACCCTGAGCCACCTCCTCCTCCGCCACAGATGGACCCACCATGGCCAGAGCTCGATCCTCCATGACCTGAGCTTCCTCCTCCTCCACCTCCAGAGATGGACCCTCTCCTGCCACAGCTGCTGCCACCGCCAGACATGGAGCCTCCACTGCCTGAGCTTCCTCCTCCTCCATACCCTGAGCCACCTCCTCCTCCGCCACAGATGGACCCACCATGGCCAGAGCTCGATCCTCCATGACCTGAGCTTCCTCCTCCTCCACCTCCAGAGATGGACCCTCTCCTGCCACAGCTGCTGCCACCGCCAGACATGGAGCCTCCACTGCCTGAGCTTCCTCCTCCTCCATACCCTGAGCCACCTCCTCCTCCGCCACAGATGGACCCACCATGGCCAGAGCTCGATCCTCCATGACCTGAGCTTCCTCCTCCTCCACCTCCAGAGATGGACCCTCTCCTGCCACAGCTGCTGCCACCGCCAGACATGGAGCCTCCACTGCCTGAGCTTCCTCCTCCTCCATACCCTGAGCCACCTCCTCCTCCGCCACAGATGGACCCACCATGGCCAGAGCTCGATCCTCCATGACCTGAGCTTCCTCCTCCTCCACCTCCAGAGATGGACCCTCTCCTGCCACAGCTGCTGCCACCGCCAGACATGGAGCCTCCACTGCCTGAGCTTCCTCCTCCTCCATAGCCTGAGCCACCTCCGCCACAGATGGACCCACCATGGCCAGAGCTCGATCCTCCATGACCTGAGCTTCCTCCTCCTCCACCTCCAGAGATGGACCCTCTCCTGCCACAGCTGCTGCCACCGCCAGACATGGAGCCTCCACTGCCTGAGCTTCCTCCTCCTCCATACCCTGAGCCACCTCCTCCTCCGCCACAGATGGACCCACCATGGCCAGAGCTCGATCCTCCATGACCTGAGCTTCCTCCTCCTCCACCTCCAGAGATGGACCCTCTCCTGCCACAGCTGCTGCCACCGCCAGACATGGAGCCTCCACTGCCTGAGCTTCCTCCTCCTCCATACCCTGAGCCACCTCCTCCTCCTCCACAGATGGACCCACCACCACCACCGGAGCTCCATCCTCCATGACCTGAGCTTCCTCCTCCTCCACCTCCAGAGTTGGACCCTCTCTTGCCATAGCTGCTGCCACCACAAGAGCTCAGCCCTCCGCTCTGGGGACTGCATCTGCCACTGCCAGAGCTGGGTCCTCCACCACCAGAGATGGAGCCTCCACTGCCTGAGCTTCCTCCTCCTCCATACCCTGAGCCTCCTCCTCCTCCACAAATGGAGCCACCACTGCCAGAGCTGGATCCCCATCCTCCAGAACTTCCGCCTTTTCTTCCTCCGGATATCCACCCTTTCCTTCTGTTCTTGCTGGCACTGCCAGAGCTCAGCCCCCCCTTCCCGCTTTTCAAGCTTCCAGACCCTACTGCAAAGGCTCCAGTAGCACTCGCATTTTGGTCAATGACACCTGCAAGAAATAGAAATTATGTCCAACTTATTATTTTTACCCAAAAAATTATAAGCACAGCTGATATAAGTACTTATGTATTGCCAGCATTGTACCTATTCTAGTGGTCATAGTGATATCTTTGAAAAGGGACAACAAGGATCTTCTTTAGTAGATGCACCTATGAAATCTTGTCATGTTTTTCTGGCTTTATTAGCTAATCTTCTACATGACTTACGTCTTACTCCGTACATGAACACTCAATGCAGCCCTTTCTTTAAGAAGGCCAAGAGTTCAGGTTTCCCTCTCCTTTAGCTGGCCCCCTATTTCCACAAATTTAGGACTATTTTTTTTTTTCCTTCAGTTCTGACATGCACCGCACAGACCTATAGAATAAGTGAGGTGTTTCCCACTTCCTACAAATTTGGTTGAAATTAGCCAATAAGTTCCAAAGTCAGTAGCTCAATGTTGACATATTAATGTGTATACACATGTATTCACACACTCACAAGAGACTGCCATTTGCTTCATTTCCCTAGGAAACGAAGATAGGAGCTAAGATCGGTTGTTCTGATGGTAGCTGTTAAGTAGCACAGACAACAAAATGGTAACAGTGCTCTTAAAAATGCAGAGCAAAGCCTTGAGATACTTACAGATTGTGGCTGGTGAGCCTTCCTGTATCCTGTGAAGGAAAAGTGACATTGAGATAATGCACCCGATAAAAGTAAAAGTCAGGCTAGGCTCTATCAGTAAGCCAATGAAAGAGATCACTCTTTCACCCTGGAGATCTAAGTGATAGATCGAAGAATGGGACACGCTGCTTTGTACAGGTGCTTCTATCCAGGATGAATAGTTTATACCTACCTGGTCTCCTCCTCCTCAAGGAGTGATCTATACATGGCAATTTCAATATCCAGGGCAAATTTCACGTTCAGGAGCTCCTGATAATCATGAAGAAGGCAAGCGAGATCATCTTTGGCCTGCTGCAGGGCATTTTCCAACTCCTGAAGCTTTTGCTGGCCATCTTTGACGGCTGAGCTCCCACGCTGCTCAGCTTCTTTAATGGTTTCTTGGAGGCTTGCTTTCTGCAGAGGGCACAAACAGAATGTGTCCATTTCCCTTCTATGGGACTGGGATTTTCAAACCCTTCTGGCAGTCCTTGGAAATTAAAAGACCCGCCTCAATGACAGAACTCAGAAGATACATTAGACTGGGTAAATTAACACAAACTGAATCCCAACGTAGACAGCCAAAATCTAAGTCTGCTTCATTTTGAAGAGAAAACATCATCTCTAGGTTTGCTTCTAAAGGACAGGCTACGTTATACTGCACTGAGTCCCCATGTAAAAGTGACTTAAATAGTTCAGTCATGTTGGAAAGTACCAGCTTTACCTTTTTCCTTGCAATTTCAATTTCTGGTTGTAGTCTTTGGATCTGCCTGGTAAGTTCCTGGATTTCCTGATAACTGTTCCTCAATTGCTCACGTTGATTTACCCACATGTTGTGAAGGTCCTGGTACTGAAGTGCAGAGAAGAGAACACACATTTTTGGTTTCTTTTCCATTGAGCAGACAGACTTGACTCCCTATCTTGTTGATGTCTACTTACCCTGCCCCGATACGTGGCATCTACTTCAGCTTTGCTTCTCTGAGCAATTGTCTCATACTCCTGCCTGACTTCTTCAATGATGCTATCCATGTTCAGCTCTCTACGGTTGTCCATGGACAGAATGACATTGGTGTTGCCAACTACTGTTTGCAGCTGGGACAGCTCCTGCAAGGAAAACAAGATTTTGGATTTTAACAGTCCATGTGAGTAGTCCAGGTCATGTTATGAGGAAAGAAATGGGACCCTCTGGCCAGTTACCCACTGGAATTTCCCTACCTGCATCCCCCACGTCCTATTGTTCCACCACAAGTTTTAATTTTGAAGTGTCTCTTCCAGCCTTCCTGACACACCAGACCCCCTTTTCACTCACAGATTAAAGAGAACTTTATAAGATCCAAGGCCAAGCATGATCCACTCTCCACACCAAAAAGTCCTGTTCAGGCAAAATTTCTAGGAGCCTCCAAAAGATACATGCCCTTCAAGAACTGAGGGTAAGTTTTTAATCTGAGAAGCATACTCACAGCTTCATGTAAGCATCTGAGGAACTCCAGCTCCTGCCTCAGTATTTCCACCCGAACATCAAACTCCATTTTTCCCATGTAGGCACTGTCCAGTTCCTGTAAAAAAAGCCATAGGCATATTTGTATTTCTTTGATCCAAATTCTCCACTGAAGTGCAATTCTTCCAAGACTTGGTACATTTCTTTAAAGCCTTCATTCCTTGACTCAAATAATGGCCCACAAATCTCAGATTTCATTTGAAAAGCAATTGGAACAAAGGGAAAGATTTTAACTCTTAGAAGAAAAGAATGGCTTCGAAATAAGCAAAATAGCTGTGGCAATAAATGTGTTCCTGGAGAAAACGCAAAATGTAGAAACATAGATTTCATTAATTCTTCTAATAAAAAGTTGTCTAAATTTTCTATTGTCCTATCTAAGCCACCTATAGACATTATTTAACCCCTAATAACGATGTCTCACCTAATAACCTAGGTTGTGATTGAGTGAACAGAGAGAGACCAGCACTTTTTAGATATTCATCTTACAAAGGACCGATTCAGTCTCTAGAGGAAATGATTTCTCTCCAGTCTTGCAGTAAAAAGCTCAGATTTTCAGTGACTTCAGTTAGAGGAGAGTTAGACGATGTTAAGCAAAGACCTTGCTTGCTTTTGAAAACCTCCGCAACCATCCAGTTATTGCTGTATTTCTGAGGCTTTGATTTAGCTCAGTGTCTTGGATTACTTCACCTTTTTAAGCTCCACAAACTCCTCTTCTTTAGACGCACGCTTGTTGATCTCGTCCTCGAACCTGTTGCAGCAGAGAAAAGAAGCAGGTAGCTCATTGCCTGTCTTACTTTTTCAGTCAAGTGGGTCAGAAACCAAAGGGGATCATCCAAAAAGGGAATGTGTCAAGTTTTCGTTTAACTGCAATTTCTGGCAACTGCAAAGGCAATGGCAAACCCTCTGCAAAACTATATGCTAAATTAGCCAACAGAATGTGATAGATACAGATCAGTTGTGACATCCCGGTAATTCTGAACTAAACTTCCCATTTTTCCGAGCTGTGGACATATATTATCTTTTGGGTGCAGCTAAGCCAGAAGACATGACGCCTCTTCGCAACTTGACCCCACTGCTCAGCTCTGTCCCTCCTCTCCCCACTGTCCAGGTTGACCGCAACTCCACAACTACCAGCAGGAGTAAGGAGTCCAGTCATTGCCTGGGGGAAGAAGGGCATGAAGGAGGACAGGAGGAGAGAAGAGTGGGGTAGATCTACAGGGCCTTTGATTTTCCTCTTACTGTTCTGGGTTCTACCCTCACCAATCTGCTTTAGTCTTCCAGCGTCAAAGCCAAGTCCCATAATGAACCTACTGCAGAGTAGTGCTATAATGGCTACAAAACTCTTGAGGCCAAGCTATGCCATCCCAGGGCATGATTAACATTGCCTTGGAAAATTCCAGGATGCTTTCTCCCAGACTTGTGATTATTCACCTCTTTTTATAATCTTCAACGAGCTGAAGCATATTATATGCTTCCGGATCCAGCTGCTCCTTCTGGTTCTGGAGCGTTTCTAGCTGCCTCTGCAGGTTGCTGATGTAAGATTGGAAGAAAGAGGCGATATTTCTGCTCTCTTCTGGTCGGGTACTTTGCTGCTGCAGAAGTTCCCATTTGGCCATCAGAGCCTGGTTCTGCCGCTCGAGACATTGAACCTG